GCTTAAAAGGAGCGGCATGATGCTGAGTTAAATCAGAGAAATACTGCTCGTGCGCAGATTAAATGTGACAAATATCATAAGAGTCGCCGTAAAGTGTAGCATCTGTAATCGCTGCACGCAATGACTGCATTTCTCTAAAGTGTCATATATCTCGTTTGATTGTGTATGTTCGAACCTATAGTTTGAATAGCATGGTTGGAATAAAGATCACATAAACAATGTTACAAATGCATTGTCTTCAGACTTTTAAGCTGCTTTTAGATATTGCCCAAGTGGAGAAAGCCCTAGCGCATATTTTTTGAGGGTTGGGTCTTTGCTAAGTAAAGAATATTAGGAAGCATATAGGTACGAACCAAACCAAACCTTTAATTATGATCAAAGATCTGGACTTGCGTTAATTCTTGAAAGCGTGAAGCTAGCCTACCTTTTAGGCAAAGATAAAAGTGTCGTTTAACCACCACTTGCTCTTCCAGATATGCAATAGATTCTAAAACAATTTGGTTTCCAATGATTACTAAAATAGCTCACATGACCCGTCCTCTTATATACTCATAAGCAAAATATTTTCTGCAAATCACAACAAACCCGGCCTCTTATATCTATTCTTGGCTGACTTGGCGTCAATTTAATATTTAGTAGCGGAAATGTCACTTGGTTGTCCCTTAAGGTCACGAGTAGGATTTATTTTCAAAATTTTGTTTAAAAAATTTCATAAATTATTTTTTTTCTATATACCATAAACTACATTGATACATATGATTCCGTTTATTAACGGATCTCTTGCAAACTTAACTTATCATCTACAATCCAGAGGCTCTCTCTCAGCTATACGAGCTTTAACCCATATATATATATATATATATTACCTATATTTATATATATGCTGATGATTATTGGTATAAAATGTTCCCCACAACTATTTATATTATTGTTAATTAATTTTTGATATAATTTATTAATTATTGTATAAATTTATTCTTTCATTTATTTGTTTTTCTTTTTTCAGTTATCCTAATTTCACAGGCGATCGCGTATGTCTCTGTCTTATGTGATAAGTCGCAAGACTAAATGATCATGCACAATTCAACGGCTAACGAGGTAATTAAAAAAGAAAAATTTAAATTTTTTTTTTCTTATTTTTTTGCATTTATGGAAAAAACCCGACATAACGGAAAAATAATCTACACATTATCTTTCCTTTTTATTATTAATTAATATTTAAGTTGTCAATGGATGTAAATCAAAAGCCAATTCATTATCTATCGAGAGGAGGATATGAAATGGTTTTCATGTGATTTCTAGTAACAAAGATGAAAATGTTAGCAGATTCAATCAATGGTACGCGACTTTTGTTTAATAGTTTAGTTTTGGGTTTTCGGCTACGAGCAGGGCATTCATGATAGATAAGGCATGAAATCTCTATAATGATTTCCTGCAATATTAAATGATGTCCGAGAAGTTGATATAACTCTGAAAGAGCACTAGCGGGTCTAAGTTGAAAGTATTTTAGTATTGAACAAAATTTCTACTTATTTTGACCAGTCAGTGAGAGGGGACGTCCGTTTAGCCGGGAACACCATGGCACTCTGGGAGGGTTATAGATAGAGAGGGATGAGAAAAGGCAGTAGTGTTTGGGTACGTTTGATTTAGAAGCGAAAACATCAGGCACGGTGGCAAAGACCGCTGCTGTTAGGCTGTTCCAGAGGCGGACAATGTTAAGGAATTACAACAAGTCGAGGTAGTTGTTAGCTAAGGAGGAGATTTATACTTTTTTATATCCCTTGTGTAGGCTTAAAAAACACGTAATTTGCTTAGTCTAGTAATCAGAGCCAATTTATAGCCCGTTCTTGGAGCACGAATTACGGAGCCATGCTTTTACTTGCAATGGGCAGATCAAATCCGAAAATAGTTATAATACGCCTAATAAAAGGGCACAATGTATGTGTAATAAAAATTTTGAGAATTTCAGCATATTTTTCTCAATTATTCACACCGAGTCGGGATTTTTATAGTTATTTTTTTCGTCGGTACAAGTTAACAAACAGTTGTGCGACTGTCCCCAATGCATGGTCAAAATTCGACCTAAAGCCAATGCATTGTTATTTGGATTTTATTCACATTCACGGAGTTATACTTAGTGGCGTTTCCCCTAGAGATAACTTTAGCGAACTAAGTTCCACAATAAGCTAGATTTTACTGATGTCCCCACTCATAGCAAAAAAAAAAATAAATAAATAAAAAATACATTCACGGATGAGAGACTGAAGTTTTATACCGAATGCACCCATTTTAAGGTATTCATCATCTGATCACTAACTGAACCATGTGCTTTCTTTTACAATAGCTTTTCTGATTGAAGAGGTTTAGATTGAAAGTTAACAAGCTCTGAGAATAGACATCATCGTCATGTCATCAATACACAATATCCAACCACTCGAACTCGAAAAAAAATCGAAAATAACCTCGAAAATAAATCTAAAAATTTCAATATGTTTTCATTAATAATCCATGACAGGTTAAGAGATATCAAGATATGAATTTTAACGCGAATATTCACTAAGGCCTTCCGTACACTAAGAGTTAGTTATACAGCGTAGTGGGGCAAATATGAAAAATCGAAGCATATACACACAAAATTTAGTTTTATTTTTTCTTACTTTTATATTTAATAAATTGATACATAAGTTATTGTTGAAACGATGACGGTTATCCAGAACGAGGACAACACGTAAATTATAACATGAAAAAAAAAACTTTTACTATTTGTTTCGCGTTTCATAAATTTGTGACGAACGATTTGAAAAACATTAATTTAAAGACTACATTACGGAGAATACGGATTTTTTTTTTTTTTTTTTGTTACTACACCACAAAAGCCTTAAAAATAGAATATATTTTACATTAAGAGAAGATAAATGATGTTTTTATGGATTGTGTAGGTACTACTGTCATAATAATAATAATAATAATAACAATAAAATTGGTTGCAAATATGCAAATGAACGTAATGAACACCTGTAATAAAAAAATTCATCGGTAAAAATAATCTTTACATTTAACTAAAAATAAATAACCCTCGAATGATAAACAGCCACTAGATAGTTGATAATAACGTTGAACGGCTGGGTTCACTTATGCGAATATACGTGATTGCAAACACATGCGGATGCAAATTGACTACATATATGTAAAGTTTTGGTAAAAAAAGCTTTTTGAAAGATTTCCATTCATGCATATGAAGTAAGCATTTAATGATTTCTTGCGGAGTTTATTAAAATCCTTGAGATATGCTTGACCGAAATAAATGAATTTCTTCCTTCTTTCTTTCTTGCTTTTATTTATTCATACTTTTTTCTTTGTTTTGTTGTTATCATATAAAAACCCATTAACATTCCATTGCCTACGTAGTTAGAACAAGTAAAAGAGTCTAAGAAGCCTTGAGGCGGTTCTTGAACCACCTATGCACTATTTCAAGCTAAGCACATTAAAATGGAAAAGTATAAAATATATTTTATTGCTATTATCACATGTCAGACGGTCGAAAGCATTTTTCCTCTAAATCCTTCCAGACTTCTAGCATTTATTTCTACCAAGGCTCATTTCAATATAGGATAGGTTTTAGGTAACTTTTTTTTTTAAATTTTTTTATATACAATAGTCCCATTGGTTTGCGGTGATTTTTCAACCTAACCTCTAATTGTCAACAACTCAGTGTTGTGTCAGTTTTGAGATCTGTATACAAGTCTTTGTCATACTAAAGCTCTTAATAGCTCCACGGATAGACACATATACTGGGCTTCTTTTACTTGAGCATTTCCAATACCAATTTTTGCAACACTGGATATTGTAATTGCCAACCAGGGCCAGCGATAAAGAACGCTCAGACGGTGAAGGCATAACACCAACGCTTTGAGCAAACATCTACTAGTTTGCGGCCAATTCCTTATTTTTTCTGCTTTTGTCTGACCCTCATCCCGTATTACACGTATAGAGGCCATCCCCTGAGTGGTGTATCATATGAAAAACCAATCTTGGATTTAACCAATGAAAATATTTACTAACGAGCAAATAGGCAGACATGACCATTTTTGAGCTGAATATGCCAACTTTATGTTATATGAAATGATTTTAAAACTTTCTTATTCGGTTTTTGCTATTCTACGTCAGCAACCGACCAAAAAACAAAAGAATAGGTATTTCTGAGTGCTTGCCGCACTTTCATCGCATTAAAAAAGTAAATAAAAACATCAACAAAAATTTTTCATAATTTATTTCTTTAACTCCCTCGTTGATGGTTAAGTTATGTAGACTGACTCTATTCAGACAGACCTACTACTATGTGCTCCACATTATGGTTAAACGAATAGAAAAAGCAAAACGCAAAAGTACAAACATAAAATTTAGAAACCGGCACAACGGCCTCGTTCAATGCTTACATATATGTATGTAGGCATTTAGTCTGATTGACTTTCGGTTCGTTTATACGATAGCTTAATTTTTTAAGGCACCTCGAAATTTCGAACAAGTCAACGATCTAAGTGCCTGCTTGTCAGTCAAACAGCCAGCGAGCCGATTAGCCAACCAACCAGCCAGCCAGCCATGGAGCTCGTATAATACTGGCGGCGAACAGTTGTCAGTAGTTGATTGCTTCTGAAACCCGTTTAAAAGCCAGTGCAGTGAATGCACAGACACTCGCAAATAGTAACTCTACATACTCTCTCTTCATTATAAATTCACATTTATATATATGTAGATATGTATGTATGTATCGGCATTCCTCGCCCATAAGCTAGCTATATATATATATAGCATAATGTCTACAATTGTTGGTAATCAGCACATTACCTGAGAGTTATTGCAAATTAAAAGCTTAATAAAAAAAATGTGCATTTTTTTTTTTTTGTTTTTCTATACATATCAGAAAAAAATGTTCATCGGTAAAACATCATATATATATAAACATACATAGGCAGATATATAAAACAAACAAAAATACATACATAGAAGCATATATTTATTCCATGCTATTATCGGTATTTGTTAAGCATTTGCATCCACACTTTTTGCTGTTGCTGGCTTGCTTGCAATTGATTTGATTTTTGAATTAATTCATTTGTGATTTTTTGCCGCTGCTGCTTATTCCTTTTCTAAACACTTGCATTGGCTATTAAGTTTGCAACAAAGTTAAAAACGGATAGAGCAACAGTTATAGAAAAACTCAAATAAAATCTCAATTCTTTGACTTAAGTTAAAGCACATTTCACGATTATAAAGTTTTTTTTTTTTTTTTTTAATAAATTTATTTTTAATATTCAGTTGATTATAAAATATAAACACTTTCGAAAAATAAGAAAAACAACAAAAACAAGACTTTGTGTTTTTTTTATTTGAAATTTATGTTTCTTTGTATGGAAATGTGACGAAAGCCGCAATGTGAAATTACTTTATAAGTTAAGCAGTGGAGAGAAAACGATGAAACTATATATTAATTGTGTTTTGAAGCGGCAAAACGAGCGATACGACAATTGTGCTTGAAGAGCGGAACAGTAACGTAAGATGACTTGTTTTCAATGTTGAATACTAGATTCTTGAAGACGTAACGGTATAGTATAATAGTAGAGCATAGCATAATATATGACCATTATTATGATAATTGAGTTAGGGCGAGATAAGCTACCACACTCACCACGCATTATTTTATTTTTTATTTATTTATTTTTTTTTTTTTTTTTGATATTACACTCGTTTAAAACATTCCAGCAAAGCTTTATCTCTATGCTCTCATTCAGTCTCAATGAACTCAATATAAAAAAAAATAATTTCTTATGAATATCTGTGGAAACCACATTCGCCTCCAAATTAATTTGTGCCCACGAACTAATTTGTTTTTGTAATGCGCGCGCGTAACAACTCGTTAAAACTAGGTGAATGAGATACAACACACGATACCGCAAGATTACAAAAACAAAATAATAAAAAAAAAGATTAGTTTTCCTTGCTTATGTTTTTAGAAAACAGAATACAAGCTGCGCATGCGTATGTCACGCTTAAAAAAATTCGTACTTTTTTTTTCGTTTTCTTATTTTTTTTCTTTTAGCTGAGATAGATTTGTATTTGCGTCAATGCAAAATGAAGGCTTGCCGAAGACTGAATCGAAGAGCTTTATTAACTGAACAAAAGCAATGATACTTACTCAGCTCACTCAGCTCAAAAAGCAAACATTCAAACATATTCATATAAGCGATTTTTGTTTGTTGTCAACATATATATATATACTGCATTTACTGCATATGCACATACATAGATAGAGACCAGCACAGCAACTCAAACCGGTGCTTATTATGGTGCTTGTGTGTGCGTCGTCGCTTATTCAATTGATATATAATGTCTATATAACATTTTGAAGAGCAGGCAGACAATTAGACTAAACCGAAAAAGAAAACAAAAAAAAGACAACAACAAAATATATAAACATAACATAAAAACACAGCCACTGATGTAAATCAAAAGTCAAATTGTTTGCTGTCAATAAAAAAAAAAAATCAAAAAAAAAACATTGCAATATAATATTCCGCTTATTAATTGAGATCATAAAAATTTCGAACCTGTCTCGATTATATCGATCGAAAGTTTAACTAGCGACTGGCTATCGTGTCAGTGGATAGTTTAAACTGTTATCACAACCATGGGCAGGAATGGTACTCTTCTTCTTAGCTGCTGATGGACACTAGTAACTACCGTTTTTTGTAGACGTGGGATTGAGACAATGTCTGCTCGATTAAATCCAAGCAATCTCTTGATTATCGAAAATATTTGATTCATTTGCCAATGTCTGCAAACTCGATTATTCCCAATGCCTCGGTAACGAGTTGAAGCATTGAAATAAGAAACTATGGTATTTCTTCTTTAATCCCAACAAACTCAGCGACAGATAATTCGTGGGATAGATTGAGCACAAATGCGGAGTTCTTTTTGCGAACCTTAATAAAGTTAGAGGTCAGTCTTGTTTATATATTTTCTTATATTTCATTATTTATTTCGTTCACATCCATGTTTTATTAGTTTTTACGAATGAAAGGTTCATCATATTATTTCCTGGTTTTTCATTTTTTACTATTCCTCCATGTTTACCGTTCGGAACTTCGTAATAAGATTCTATTAGCTATTGTTTTCTTTTCCAATTTTTTATTATACCTCACGCAGAAGACGACACTGATTTGATCTAAGTCTCTCTATCCGTCTGTCTGTTCATGTATATTTCCATTCAAGTTACAGGGCGAAAGTTTTGAGATATTCTGATGAAATTTGATATACTGGCACGTTTTAATCTACAGGCAGACGGACGGACGGATCGGTCCACTTTTTATCCCTCTCCACATAATACCTTATTTTGCAAAGTTATGATTTGAAAAAAAAAGTGCGATTTTCAAAGTTCACTGGCGAACACGCCTGTAATAGCGGTTCGGCATTCTAAATTAACATGGAAAATTTTGTTCGGTTGAGGAAATTTTTGGAACCGCTTGCCATATAACCGTTGCTACAAAAAATGAATCTGTGTATGTTAAGAAGACCTAATTTTCAATATTATATGGTGAAAATTGGTTCATAATAGCAAGTTGACAAAAAAATAAACCTTCTTGAATTTTCATCACGTACGTCCGCTTTTTTCATAACATCGCATATAAAGATTTTCAGGAAATATAAACCTTTATATGCCAAAGAATCTTAATTGTTAACGGCTCTTGATGAGCATTTGTTCGCGATAGCAATTTGTCATAAAAATAAAGTGCACCAAATTTGAACAATATGGGTCTATTTCGGAGTGAATAATTGTACTAGTCGAAGTAGGGTACGGTACCTAATGGACGGCTAATGTTCTTATTGGTTTTTTGTACAGATAAAAATTCTTCCAGAAAAGAAAGAGAGAAAAATGTGTTCTTTCGCCTTAAAATATCAAAGTGAAGTGTTCGTACATAGGGGAAATGAAGAAATTAGCTTACGTTTACCTTTAATACGTGAAAAAAGAAACCCCTCGATCTGAAGGCAATTTGTTTTTTGTTGTCGTTATCGCATTGGATTGAAAGAAAAATTGCGTACAGCAAACACTAACCAAAGTAACTTGGCCGTTTGTCGAAGGTGATGTGGACCTTAATATCCAGCAAGAAAACTTTTTCGTAAGCAAGGTTAGAGGTACAGCTTTTAGAAGGCTGCTTACGTTAAAGTTATTTATATAAACCGGTGACAATGTTTTCCGAACAGATTAACACAATTCAATTCAAAAGCCATTACAGAGGATATGATCACGGTATTCCTTATTGCATAGACGGAGCTTGTAATCTGACTAAGGGACCAAAAATATGCACATGTAAAGAACTTAGGCTGAGTTTAAGCCCTGCTTACATTGCTTAATTATAACACCCAACTACAGGCAACCTTTCGAGTCAAAATTATTTAGTCCCACAATGGAGCGATAGTTTTTCCTGAATAAATAAATAAAAATCAGGGGCAATTACGATGAGGACGTAATGTCATTAGGCCAAGCGTGCGAGTAGGAAGAAAGAATTAAAACCTGCCGTGCATCAAACCTTATACACGTTTCAAGCCTCCTTGTACTTTGCGGTTTTGTGGAAGAAGCCTTCGATCTGACTCAACGCCATAACAAATTATAACTTCATGGCGAACTGTTAGAACGTTACCAAATTACCAAATCAACTGATTATCTAGCATTAGCTCAGTAGTTTGAAAGTGAAAAGTATATTTGCTGCCAGGGAAATATTATTTCTTGGCCAGAGAATTTACGAAAGTTTTGAGATTTTTATTGAAGGCAAGTGCTTTTAACGAAGAGTCACAGGCTTATTTATTCCGATTGTATATGGCTAGGCGGCACTGCAAGGATGCGGCAAAGACGGCTGTAATTATAGCAAATCAAGAACAGTTGGCGGACAACTATAAAATTGCACACGATCTATTAGTTTCTATGTATCAAGAATTACGGCGCAATAATTTGGCGGTAACATCCGACATCTCAGCTATTCCATATGCAGATTATGTATAAATGTTAAGCAAATATTATTAACCGATATGACGGTGGGTTTTTTTTTTATATGCAAAAGATTTTTTTCCCTCCGATTTTAGTAAACCTTTACCCGTCGATGCACAACAGGCTTATAAATTTGCTAACAACTCGGCGGTCAGTGCAACTTCTGTGGACTTCTTTATAATTTTTATTTACTTATCATATGTAAATTTTCTTATTTCTTATTGTTGCTGTTGTTTGTACTGGTTGTTGTTGTTCTTGTTTCTGCATCAGGACGTTGTTTGCGGTTATTCGTATATTGTTTCTGAAATAGAAAATTGCAAAGCAAGATGTTGTAAATAAAAAAATTTATAATTTACTCAATTTTTTATTATTATTTTTTTTTTTTGTGGGATGTGATGAACCAGATAGTGAACATATTTTGGGATATGATCAATCAAACAGCGAAGATTTTTTGGAATTTGTTTAAACAGAAGACAAACAGACGGAGGAACGGATGGACGAACAAAGGGACGTACAGACGGACGAATAGAGAGATGGACGACCATCATATAAAAACGCCCCCATAGATATAATTTAAGGAGCAAAACCAGCTGGATATACGACGAGGGACCAACAACGTCGGCGGAAGCAGCGCGGAGGGAGAAGAAGCGATGCCTTGAACCCGCTACAAACGAAGATGCAGGCCAGGAAGTTTAAGTATCGCAGAGGAAATCAGCCTGGACGTGAAGGCAGTAGTCTGCGATAGAAGCGAAGCAAACCTGCAAACGCTGACAAAGTTCATGAACGGGAAGTACGAACGGAAGCGAGCTGATGGTACCATCTATGTAATACCAAGTATGTTCGATTACATAAGTCTGCTGTTTAGATTTAGAGATAAAATGAAAAACAGCAATCTGTTTGACCTCACTGTCATCACCAAGGCACATATGGAAAAAACTCGCATCTCGAATTACTTAAAAAAGAGAGGTGCATGCCTAATAAATACCTCAGTTTCAATGTTCAAAGGATGTATGCAGTTATTAACTCCCGCAACAGTAGCAAACGTGGACGTCGCTCTGAAGAGAAAAATAATTCGTGAAACAAAAGAAATGCGAACGTATGAAGCCATCGCTGCTCTCACTAAATTGCGCACAATCGTGTACAGTGGCAAGATAAGCAGCGCCAAATGGGAAGAGCAGGTTTTAAGAATTCGCGTAAATTCTTGCGTTCTTTAAATCTTTTCTGGTTATAAAAATTATTAGCTAGAATAAGATCACTTTGATCTCATTATAATTAAGATCACTTTTCTAATTTTTGTTTTAAAAAAATAATTAAAACATTTCCACCTGTATTATTATTTGGGTTTTTATATCTTACGTCGGACAAGGTTATATTAACTCACTCTCATTGCATACAGCGATCTGAGCTGCATACAATGCTATGCAAAGAGTCAACTTTTTATTTATTACGTACTATTACGTATTACTATGTATTATTATTATTATTATGATTGTAAATACTATTATAATTTTTAATTAAGTCTATAATGGTGTAGGCCCAAAAGGGAGCCACCCATTTAAAACAATTGCCAACGAGCCTATCACGGCACACCAAGGATGGTGCGGAAAACCGTGAAAACCAGGCTCTGCACATTCTTGTACCTTCATTGCGGGTAAGCATTTTTAAAGAAAAATACTTCAATGAGAGATATAAATTTATTCATACCAAACTTTCTCTGCAATATTTCCGCATTTTAGAGATGTGCACAACATATATGTTTAGATTCCTTAGAATGTGTTGTAATATCACCATAATTAATTCATCCATCAATTGTATCGCGTGTAACTATTTGATAAGAGCGCATAAATGAAATAAATTTTAAAATGGAACAAAAATGGGAGTCACTAAATTGCGTCGCCCCTCTTCTCTCTCTACCCGCCGCTGCAGCGACAAGTACAGAGACTGAATGGATGGACAAATATAAAAGGAGACACAGATAAAAACATACGTGTGGAATTCAAATACAACATGATTGCCTTTGTCCGATTCCGAAAGTCTCTTTTACAAGAGCATTTTCTAATTCTTTAGAAACATCGTAATAACTACTGTGTACTGTCCTCAGCTATTTTTTTTCTTTTTTTAATAATAAATACGAAAGTAAGCTATATTCGACTGTGGGCGCAATCTTTAATACCCAACGCCTTAATTAAAAAAAGAAAGAAATGAAAAAATTAAATAACGCTACTCCTTAATATCAAGTAGACGGGGCCGATCTTGAATCAGTCGGAGGCATATTCATCGCAGATGTTTGCACAAATGACCAGCTATACATACCTACATTCATTGAGAATTCGATGCTGTTGCAAAATATATGTCGCTGAAGCTGCCATGTGCACATTTTCACTATACAAACATACCCCATATGTCCCCTATTATATCTTCAACATTTCAACACCCGATCTTCACTCGATCGCTTGATTTTTTTATAAAAAATACTACATTTATTATGTTATTGGAATTGTGTGTGCGCGTGTGTTATGCCTACAGTATTTTGAGATTCGCCTTAAATTCTCCGATTTACTTAGATTTGCCAGCTCTTTTAGCTTTTGCTGATTTCTTTTCCGCCAAAGTTTTCATCACAACTGCAATTAAAGCAAAGGTACCAATTATCACTGAGGCAATTATAAGTAATTGTCGATTGTTTGTCAACGCTTGCAATTGGCCCGCAAAGAAATTATTTCTGAAAAATGATTAATGATAAATTAATGAAGGATTAAAAAACTAGTGAGTACATTATCTTACATCGAATTAGCCTCTGGTGGTACAGGTTCCGGATGAGTTTGTTTGCGATAACCAGTTTCGACAAATTCAATAAGTTTCGCCGGTGCATAATCTTTAGCTGTATACCGAAACACATGTCCTTGGCGAAGGCTACGATATTTATTGTAATCATTTAACAGGACATCAAAGTCAATGAATGGGATTTCAATGGGATTTCACAATCACTTACAACATAAATTGCGGTGATTCTACAACGTGGAAACGCTTTCCCGTTGAAATGCCGGCACCTAAACGGTCGACACGGGCAAAGTTTAAACGACGCTTTAGACGTGCTCCCACGGCCTCATAGCCAGCGTGTAAACGCAAACAAAAGACACAATCTGTCGAGTAACTGTTTTATAAGTAAATAACGAATTGTTAATCGCAACTGGTTAGCATACCGAGCATTGTACTTACAAAAAGACAAACCAATCGCCTGTAGTGGCACCAGTTGCTGCTTGTGTAAGATGTTCAAAGTTCTTATCTGATAGCTCTTTCACAATTGGTTCTTGATTTTCGGTAAATAATTGCACGATTTCATCTTCTTTATAATCGCCAAAGTAAAGTAACGGGCTGCCATGTCTGAAATAGATGAGTGAAGGCTCCTTGGACGGATCATATACATTCACCATATGGCTATTATGAGCTTTAACTATAATCGCTCCTATCGTTTCCTTCAATTCATTTTGAATATTTTCCACGACAACCTGTAGTTCGTCGCAATCCACACAATTATCTTTCGCTAAATATTAAGAAATGCGAAATAAATCATTTTACTCTTAATTATAATTAAAATATTTGAAACGTATGGCAACATACTAAATAAAACGATAACATTGTCTTTGGCGGTAATTAAATGCACTAAATCCGTATCATCCATTTGTTCGATAAGTGCACTTGCGCACAAAATGCCGACGACAATTAGGAAACAATTCGTATAAATTTTTGAAATTGTAATCATTTTACTATATATTTTTCTTATTGGTTTTCCAAAAAAACAAAATATCCACAAATGAACTATCACTTAAACTCGTCTTTCTACAAGTGATGTCATATAAAATGTTGTTTTAATAAATCAACGCCAGCTGTTTATTGCTAATCTAAAAGCAATTACTCAATTGCTAACGTAACGTAACGCAACAGAACTATACATACATACATATATATTGTAATACAATGTAAACTGCATATTGACGTAGTTTGGCTCGCAATCCGTAGAAAGATTAGAGCATTTGTTGCTTTATAGATTATTGATAGATTGATGAATAATTGATGGTGGATAATTTTCGCATAAATAGGGAAAATTGTGACATATCTCAAATATATATAACTGCAATAAGCACTGCTATCTCCCTAGTAGGCTATCATAACTGGCATAAGTTGAAAGTGTAGGATGTCTCCGATACGTGCAATTGATTTACCGGTACAACGCATACGAGACGGCTAATGAAAAAATTGCGTTATTATTATACCTTTACGATCAGTTAACTTTGAAAAACTAAATTTGCTCCATCTGGTTGGTAGTCCGATAAAAAAAATAGCATCAAAGGGTTAAAAATTAAAGCTTTTTAAAGGAAAATTTTATATATATGGAAATACTATATACCTGTATATATTTGTGTATATGTCTATCTGTATACATTCATTCACTATTGCAAAATATTCGAAACAAACCAAAGTAAAAAACCTTTCGAGGAAAGTATATACATATTAGTCGCTGCAATTAAACTCTATATAACGCATCTTTTATTACATCACTTTACGGTATGACTAGACCGACTATATAATACTACAATATTTGTCAAAGTCAACTAAAGTTGAGGAATTAATATAAAGCTATAAAGCATGCTTATTATTATTTACTGGCATTTAATTTTAAATTTTATTTCTATGAAATAAACGATATGCTCGGATTATATTCGGTTTAAGCATAAAATAAATTCAATAGTTTCACGAAACCGATACCTCAAGCAATATTATGCTGGTAATGATAGAGTTAATCGACTGCCCTTCTTTTAAGAGATTTGAAATAGAAGGGTTTATATAGCAGCAATTTGATCTTCCTTGGCGGTGTATTTCATACAAAGTAGTTTCCATTGAAGAAAATATTAATGTTATCAGTCCAAAGATACGCCACCTGCAAACATTCTCCCGAAACTGTATAAGAAATGTATTCTCAGTTAGTCTGAAAAAGCGTAGCCACTCTCTTGATTGCATTTGTTTTCAAGGTAGCGCCAGTTTACGTTCCACGTTAGATTTACCGCTCAGCATAGGGATATAGATATTTTCATATATTATGGGATGGTTTTTAACGATTTCATCTAGCAGATATGTGTGTCTATCCTTTTTTTGTGGAACACGCCCACTTTGCTATGTTTAGATGTGCTTTACCTAATTTTACCGAGATCTGTCAGCGTGACGAATAATTTTTGTGAAGTAGCAACAATAGAGATACGGAGCTCACATTTAGTAACAACATTCTTCGATCGATTGGGAATATGTGGTTAAAAGAGTGGGTGTGACCTGTTCACATATACGCCCACAATATAGAAAAAATTAACACTATCTCGAAAAACATCGGTAATTTTTTTTAAATTTCCGTACATATGGTTCCGATCGGTTTATTGATACCTCCTTTATTAACGAATTTTTTCTAATCCATATTCGGCTGGACTTCGTTGTTAAATGAGAACATATTAGTAAGTCGGTTGGAACAATTTTTGGGCTGAACCTAAAGCTGGTCCTAATGAACATCTCGATTACAGGTTTTCGAAAAATATCTTTTTCATGATCTCCAAAACTTTACGCGATGCCGTCGATACCTACGAATAAGACTCGTGCATACGCAGATCCCTATTGAGAAGGGAGCGAATTGTCGATAGAGTTTTCATATATGTTTGGGCCGAGAAACGAAATCGGTGCCAACAACCAACATTTCTTGATAAATGAGAAGAATACGCCGACACACCCTTAACGAGAGAAGAATGGAAATGAATAATAAGGTTTCGTGGTGTGCTTGATATTTGAGACCACAATTGGTTCATTGATTGAAAAGAGGAAGGTAGGGAATGGAAGTGAAGTTTTTGAATATTTGCGACACATATTGTGTTTATATATATATATATAGACGCGCCCAAACGACTATTACGAAACTATTTTTAGATAAAGGAGAAAAAAAGTCGCAATAAAGAAATTTAGTCCTAAGAACTACTCCTAACTGACAAAAAGCGCGTACACAATGCGAAAAATCATAGTATCCTGATTTTTCAACCTGATGACGGTTGGCCCCATGGGAGTCGTAGAAACTTTGACATTGGATTGCATTGAAAAATGTTCTCCGCATATACCAAGCAATACTTTTTCTGATTACCACTGGTTTCAATCAACAGTATACTATTTGTCCGCATATGTCGTCATTTCTTGTGGCAAAAGGTGAAGGCTTGGAGTTTTAATCTCAGATAGTTACACGAATAAAACGAACAGTTGCAAAAGCAAGTGGAAGGACTAAACGTTACATATACTCTTATAAACCAATAGCTTTTCCTGAATTTTTATAATTTTGGGTTTACAATAAGCTGAAAGTTGAACCTTAATTTTTGGGGGGAGAAGTAAATTTAAAGCGACGAACAAGAGAAATAAGAAACTAAATTTTAGTAAACTAAACTTACTTTCATTAATGAATGTCTATGTATACGTGTTCTGCCTCTCATGTCATATGTATTTGCACTTTCTCACATATTCATAGCAGGTACACCTGAATACCTCCGTAAATATTTTCTCAACGATTTTCGGATTAAAAAGAACGGTTTATTAACACACTTCCTTCCTTTCTTCTTTTCTTCTTTGCGATGATTGCAAGTAACGAATTTCATGTATTTTTATATACATATATACATATATATATATATATGTGTGTGTATATTTGTGGGTAGATGTCGATGTGTGAATATCTTGTTGACATAACTGTTGTGCTTTGAAGGCATTTGTGTTTGCTTTGCCTCAGTGGATTGAATAGACATTTAAGATGTTATCATTTTTTAATGAAATCGTTAACACATCTAAAAAGTGAAAAATGAAAAAATATAAAAATATAAAAATAAAACTAAAAGCTATCTATGTGCTCATAGATATTTGAATATATAGATATTTAGCTAGAATTCACATAAATACATATATACAACATTAAACTTTTTTATGCATGCAAGTATATTCTTTCACTATTTTAATGAACAGTAAACACACGCATACACACTTGCATGCGAGCATGCATCTATGTATATGTATATGTACATACACATATATATATATATATATATAAATAAATTGCAGTCCCTACGATAAATCAATATTAACTATTTATATATACTGAAATACAGACGTGTGCAAGCGCCTGTGTGTTGGAGCAAATGTGCTCTCAAATATTTACACTTCTTTGAAAGGTTGAGTGCATTGGATTCAATTTCAAATTTTAATTTCATTTAATTAGAAACACATAAGAGCTTAATACGGTCGCGAACAAGCGCTTTATCGCTTCATACACATAAGTAATTGCATTATGAAAGATTAGCTTAGTTTCAGTTAGAAATATAATTCTGCATGGCATGAGCCACATTCATCTATATAAGATAGGTTAGTTAGCGGATGTATCTTTGTTTTAGCAAATGAATTGTGCTGCTTGTGCAGAAGAGGAAACAAATATTTGGAGCAAAAAAATTGATCTCTAATTTTTTAAGCTTAGTCAATTAGATAGTTAGTTCTTTAGCGCCGGTAAATCCGCCTCAGGGATTCTTTCAAGCTTTTGTGTGTTTTAAGTGTCTCAAGAAAGTTGACTCCAGTATTGTCACTAGCATTAGCCAATAGCATATGTGGCCAAGCGGATGTACCTTTCGATCTGAACACACTTAATTTTTACTGACTATAGACATATTCGTCTAGCCTAGGACAATAAGATAAAAAACCGGATTTGAGTAAGAAGATTAGACTTTTTCTTAAAATCATTTTCCTGTGCATTTAAGCATCTTTCCAAACCGCGTAGATAGGAAGAAGGGACTTGGGTTGTTTTCGCATTAATCCTTCCCATATGTTTTCCGGCCGTTCATGACATGCAACGGCGAAATTTGACACCGAAAATCACCGAAAATATGGTGGAAAAAGGTTGAGAATTCGCTGCTTCAAATAGTTCTTTTCCCTTACATGAGAATGACATATGAAATTAAGCACAGTCCCAATTCTTTTCGACTAATCACCAAGCAGCGTCAACACGTTTTGACAAAACCCAAGTGAAAAAGTAAAAGGGACGCCGTAGGAAATCTGTATAGAATGTTATTCTATAAATTTTTCCCTCTCTTTTGACCTTAGCTTAACTAAAAGTGGGACGCAAACTTGGGCAATGAGAGATTTTACTTGAGTGGGTATTTATCCAAAATTGATCATAAAGCAAATGTAGTTTTTCTCGTACTCTCTCGATCAAAATGTAGTAGGACTAAGCTCTCCTCGAATATGGTGATGCACAGCATTATGAATTCTTTCCCACAGGCCAGCATATTAACAAAAAAATTTAATTTTAGATTTACGCATCGCTTGCTCGGAGCTATTCGCCAGAACTAGACGCAGACAATTATCGGACTGCGTCGATTTGTCCAACCGTTTTCACACGACATTCAATTTGTATCGTATCCCCAAGCAACCCATTTGTCTCAGAATCGTCCAGATGACATTTCGTCATTCTTGGAATTTAAAAAAACTTTCGCGAAGGCAAAGTTATGACTCTACGGCTTTCAAAGTAAACGAGCTTATCTCATAAGCTGCTAATAATATTCGGGTTCCGGTGCTGTCAACTTCATAAAAAAGAAGAAAATACTGATTTGAGTGAGCCGCGAGATGTAAATAGGAAAAGTCAGGGCATTTTGAGGGCATCATCATCTTTTCGATTAAATACGAACGCATATAACGATTCCAAGAAAAAATTTAATGCAAAGTTTCGCTTTTCACGAAGGATATGAACAATCTCAAGTAGACGTAGTAGATTAT